GGAGGGCTGCTCTCATCTGTAGGCAGGTTGAACAGAAACTTAGCAACTTCCATGTTTGACTAAACACCTTCTTATCTAAAGGCTGTCGCCCATTAAAACAAAAATAAAAAAGGTTTTGAAAACCAGCAGACTGCTTTAATAGAATGGGATAAAAAAATAAATAAATCTCTAAACATTTGAAAAGATTAGTACTTACTTTGGGCAAGAGTTGCACTTTTTAGGTCAGTCTTATGTATAGTTGCTTTGTGTTAGCATGGTATAATTAAATATTGAAATAATATGGACAAAAAAGAGAAGAAACAACAAAGCAGTTGACTAAAGGTGCCTCCACAACAAGAGTGAATATGACAACTAAATGATGAGCTATTCACAACTTTGAGGAGTTCCAAATACACTCGAAATTGGTCCAATTAATTCTTTATAGTTTTGATCCCAAGATCAGTTTGAAGACAAAGTCGGTAGCAAAGTTAGAGCCCAGGATTCAGCAAATGCCGAATGCCAGCGTGGATGGCTTTGAGTCTCCCCGACACTGACCTTTGCCGTCTGGTTTGGGTGAGCGTGGCGCTCCAGCAGCGTTCTCCGTCTTATTGAGCAGGAAGGGAGGCTTCATACGGGACAACTTGGGAGAGGAGTCTGGCTTGTTGACAGCTGGACTGTAGGGGGAGACAGAGAGACGGTGTAGGTATTACTGTTGTGGTTCATTTAGCTGTAGCTGCTCGTCCGGTGGCAAAAATCCAGGACAGGTTAGAGTAAATTTGACTTCAATTTAAGTTAACCTGCATTTTTCTGGTGTGTGGGAGGGGAAAATCCAGGCAGGATGAGGAGAAAGGACAGCAATATTCATGATTGGGTGACTCACCTTTGTTTTCTGTAGTCATTAAGCTTCTTATTAATGAGGGCCTGCCTGGAAAAGCCGAGCTCCTGCGAGACATAAACACGCCTGCATTATGAGTCTGAGGTTTTCACTGAGAACATGTTAAATGCATACAGTTATTGAAAATCCGCCCGGTAAAAGTGTGTTCTCTGACCTCGTTGTCTATCTTGCTGTTCTCCCCGATGAGCTTTATCCAATTCAGCATGTCCTCCCGGTCCTCCGCTTGCAGCAAGTACTCACAGAAGTCCTGGGTGGTCAGCCGGAGGGCGTGCTTTCGTTTGGTCTCGCTGTACGCGATGTCCACCAGGCAGCCCCGGATGCTGATCGGCTGCTCATCCTCGGCCGAACCTCCAATCGTGGCTCCGCGAAGCACCGCCTCCCGCTTATCCTTGTAGAGGAACAGCGATTGGGAGCGAAGAACCGAAAAGACGCGCTTCCACGGACGCATGGCGCTGCCTACCTTCTGTGAAGGAAAGAGGAGATGTGATGCGACTCCTTTGCTATGCTTTCCAGCTTTCTCTTGTAATCAAGCTCGATTTGCCCACCTTGCCCTTCTCGGTGTGGATCTGCTTGTAGTGCAGCCATCCTTCTCGCCGTACATCGCTGTAAGTGATGTTTCCCAGCTCCGAGGTGGAGTGACGTTTCGACCGAACCTCCTCCGCTGTCCCGATGTTGTCCAGAGACTGAAACACAACCGGAAAAGTTTTCAGGAAATTTGTTGACTTTCTGTTTTCAGTTAGCTAGTGTTTAGAGCGGATTTTCTCATTTCAAGTTAGTTTTTATTAGCTGAAAATCTTTAGTTTTAGTTTAGATTCTATTGGTTTCAGTGTTAGTTTTAGTCTTTTTTATTTTGGTTGTATAACATTTTTTTTAACAGAAATCAAAAGTAAGCATCTTACTTTTTCTTTTAAAGTTAGTTTTCAAAGTTCACAAAATGGTTTCAGCTAGTTTTCACCTTCTGTTTATTTTTTAACTCTCAAGCTTCTTTTATAACGTGCAAAAATACATCAATGCATATTATTTTGTGTTGCTAATTATTGTTTAAATTTAAAATTGCTTTTAAAAATACCATGCAACAGTTTCAAAGAAAACTGCACTCTTCATGCTGACCTGGCTTTTCATGGCAGAAGATTGCAGTAGTTTCCATACTGCAGGATTTTGCAACGGACGAACCACCAGTTGAACCATCAGCTATCACACCTTTATGTGTCTTTGCATATGGCCAAATATTACCTGATAAAAGCTTTATTAAAACATAACACAATCCTTTCCTTGCACAAATAAAAAGCTGATTTAAAAAGCTGTAATAACAGAAGACACACTCATAGTGTTCCAGTGTAACCAGCTCACGGTAGCTGTAGTTAAATTATATTTAACGTTGGCAAACTTAAGCCACGTGTCCCAACACTTCATTTCAGACTTTACGACTCTTTTATGGCAGCGTGTCACAGAAAAAACACCTCACTGGTTTTAATGACAAAAGTTTAATATGATTTGTGTCTCTGTAGCTCGGCGGTGGCAGGAAGAAGTCGTTTGAAACTCCTTCGAAACCTCAGCCTGAATTTGATAATGAGAATTATAATGATTATAATAACTTGTTTTAGATGTTTGTGCAACCATCCATCCATTTTTTTGTATGACCGCATTTAAAAATATTAATGTTGGTTTGCCATAATTAATTCATTGCCTTAGTTAAATTCAA